AGAAACGAAGAAAGTTGTTTTTTTGTTTTGCTTTGCTTTTTCTCTGGTCGCTTTTGTGAAAGTTTTTAGTTCGAAGCCAAATGGTAGGTGGATGAGTGTGCGTGTGTGTGCGCGACAATTTGGGTTAGTAAATGGCTTGAATGGCCTAAATGGGTTTACCAACTGCATCGCGCGGCTTGGGCTCGCCGGTCAGGTTGAGCAGGGCGCCCACCTTGAAGAAACCAGCGGAATGGCCAATCGCCAGCCAGGTTCCTCCTTCGCGTCCCGGCTCCAGATCGATCCCTAAAATGGGAAAATATATAAATACTCTTATAAGTAACATTGTTTAAAGTCTAGTTTAGCTGCTGGGAAATCGATCTTACGAGGGATTCATTCAAATCGACTGCAATTAAGTCATCTGTGCGACTTTTAGGGATAGACTGAAATGTAGGATACATTTTTGCAGTAACAGAGCAGGATAAGCTCTCAAGGATTATACCCCATCTAACCATAGGCATCCAAGGGCTTAACCCCACCACTTACCCCCATAAACATGTTCGGCATTCGCCCACTTGGCCGCTGACTGGGTGGCGCGGGCGAAGAACTCGTCCCGATTGGAGGCCAGGATGAGCTTGTAGCCGCCCAGCTGCGGATTCGAGTCCGCACAGAAGAATATCACGCACATCGTTCAATATCCTATGATTGTATATGGCTATAGTTGCGGTGTGTAGGGCCTTAGGGTCGCGAGACAACTGCGGCTGAGTTCCGAAAAGTGGGCTTTAATCTCGGTGGGGTGTCCGTATCAAAATGGCAGGTTGTTTAGCTCAGTCTTCTCTTTGTTACTTTGTGGCAATGGAACTACTACTACGTTGGTTTTATCATTAAATAGCCGTACGTACAGCTGATATACAGTCTTATCCGTTGTTTGCGAGCCCAGCTAATCTAAGTGTTAATGTAAATGGTTTGGATTGGTGGGTGATTTCTGTGAGCCGTGCCTCTATATGGTATCTACATATTTACGGGGCAAAAAGCATTCCCATTATCGCAAACAAAGCAGTATTTTCTTAAATTTCAATGACCGGGGTTCGCTTGTTTTGATTTCTCCTTTTTTTGTGTAGCGTTGCCAGCTGACAGGGAATCGATAAGAATTCGTTAACCCTCTACTGCCCTGTGCGATATTTTTGCTTAATATTTCGTTCGAAGAATGGTGATATAATATTACTTGTCCTAATGTATACATCTAAATTTGAAGGATTTATTTCTTAATCATGCGCTGAACAATTTAATATAAATTTATAATATTGGCCTATATTTCTAACGCTATATACCTTATAAAGCATATTAACTCATTTAGTAGCTTGCGCAGAGTCGATCATGACAAAAAAAAAAATACTATTTTGAAATTGGCGTAACAGGTAGGGCTTATCGCCAGTCGCCCATCTTTATTGTCTCCCAAAGTGTGACCGTTGGCGTAGCAATCGATTGCTTAATAACTAATCGATGTTTGAAAAAAATAACAAAAAACCCTTGAATAATGGTTTGCAATTAAAATTAGAAAATACCAGTGCATAGCTATTCAATGCAATGCATAAATTAACTATCGAATCATGCACGCCCTTAAATCGTAAAGGACATTGCTCGTTTTAATTAAGTGGAAAGGGTGGATTTTTTAGGGAAAAATAGCGGTCGGTCGAGAACATCTGCGGGGAAAATCGCGTCACCATCTGGTAACACTGGCATTCAGCAGAGCAGTGAAAACGACGTTAACATTTCTGATCAATTAAACAATTGGAAAATCCGCCCGCAGATCGCGATCTAAACGTACCGCCCCCGCCACGCCCACTGCCGCCCACGCCTCCTGGCGCGGGGTCACATCGATAGAGAGCTTTGCGCGTGTGTGTGTGTGCGTGTATGTGTTGGTCAAGAGGTGAGGAGGAAGACGAAGAAGAGAAAAAAAACAGGCAGCGAAAAGCGATAAGAAACGGAACACAACACACTGGAAAAAAATTGCGATAAGAAACGGGGCGGAGCGGAGCGGAAATTGCCAAGACTCTGGGATGGATTAGCGGCACAGCCGGACTCTGAGGTTAGCCAACAGTGGGATTAGGACCAGGAATAGCCATGTCCTCCGCCGTTAACATCCAGATCGTCTCCATGCCGAATCTGGCCAAGATCGAGAGCTTCCTGAAGGATGTCAGCTACCGGGAGACGATCGAGTACAGTGCCAACTTCAACACGCGGCTGTGCAGCGAGCGGCGCCACCGGCTGCCTTTCCTCGATCCGCAGACAGGCGTCGCCCAGAACCACTCGCAGCTCTTCCTGGACAAGCGACAGCGGATGCCTGGCTTCCGGCAGGGTCAGATCTACACGTATCCGGCGGCCCGCTGGCGGAAGAGCCGTCGCCAGTACTTGAGCAAGATGTACAGGTGAGGAATCCGCACAAATCGGTGGGCGATTAGAATGACTGGCAAATACACAAGGAGAAGCTATAACTATAGGATCCCAGAGGTATTACTCTGAGGATTCACATTCGAACTCGAAAACCTATTGCATATGGTTAGGTCACAAAGTCTGAATGACGTGTTGCATCAGTTTCGATTACGAACAGAAACAGAAAGGGATTAGCTATACTTCGCAATGCAGATATCCAACTCCAAATAAGTTATAGTTCCAGGGGGTAATCTTATATATAACGAGTTAGGTTTCATTCCGGATAGCCTGAAGTGAACATGAGGATTTGTGTATATGCCATTCAATCTCTTCCATTCCGAGGTTTTATTGTTAGGAGAGTCCATGTTTATCCCGGCTAATAACGAACTTTCCATTCATGCAGCCGCTTTCCCGAGCGTCCCTTTCAGGCGCTACGCAAAGAGCACGAAGCTCTGGTGGCTAGCGGCGTCAACCTGGGACTGAGCAGCCTGACCAGTGGTATGGGATCCATGCCCGGCAGCAATAGCCTGGCCAGCAGCTCCTCCCTTACGCTTAATATGCTCACGGGCGGCGGAGCCGCGCCGGCCGTACTGGGTTCCCTGCACAGCGACACTGCCCACGATTTTAATGGAGCCTTCAGTCTGGAGGAGTCTAGCTCATTGGGTGCCGCCGGCGGTGATACATCCGACAGCAAGGACAGTCAACAGCAACAACATCAGCAGCAACAGCACCAGCACCAGCAGCAGGCCGTCAAGGAGGAGCATTTGCCCAAGGAGTGGTTCTACGATGAGTTAGACATTAACGATGTTGACTCGCTGGAGGAGCCCAAGTCGCCGGCAGATGATGAGTACGATTATGATCCGCGCTATGGTAACAAGAAGAGGCGCAAGCGGCGGCCAGGCAAACGAGGAGGAGATTCCGGCGTCGGAGGTGGTGGAGGAGGCGCCGGCGGTGGCGGCAATTCCGGTGCTAGCTCCAGCTCGCGGAGACGTAGTGCAGCGGCCAGGTCGCGTATCACCACAACGGATGCGGCGCTGGACGCCTCGCTGGAGGCCATCGAATCCGGCGAGAGTGTTCCAGGCAGCAATGGAGGCCCAATCTCCAGCGGAGGCATCCTTAGTGGCAGTCTGGGAGCAGGCTTAGTGGGAGTGTCCGGATCCGGGGGCGGAGGAGGAGCATCGGGAGCTTCGGCCAACAGCCGCCGATCCCGGGGAGCGGGAACACGCGGCAGACGACGAACCAAGGGACCAAACAGCGTCGTTGGATCGGCATGCGATCCGACCAGTCCCGGCATGGTCATCGAGCCACCATCCTTCGAGAGTGCCGCTGCTGCGGTGGGCGTGGTCGAGGACGCGAACGCCCATCTGCGCAACTATCGGAAGTATCTGTAACCGCTCTATCAGCAACTAATTGGACGTGTAATCAATCAAACCCCTTGTTTTCGCTTTGTTTTCTCGCCTATTGATCGACCTATTTTTCGCACATAATTTAAAGTTAGTTTATAAGCCTTAGTTGATCACTGTTGCCCACGACAAAAGGATAAAAGCCAAGAAAGAAAAGAAACAAATACATTGTGGACCAGGGACAGAAACAGGTTTAGAATCAGGATCACGATTAGAACCGCGCACCAGGCCGTAGCCAATTCAATTCCAATGCTTCGCCTCTCTTAACTTTACGTTCCCATAGCCAATTGATTGTTGTTTTTTGAACTACCAATGGACTGGCGAACTTCTCTGTAGGACAACTTGAGTGGAAACTTAAGAGATGTAGAAAACATTATTCGATCAATTTTAATATAGGTGTATGTTTAGTAAACCTTTAGGCCATCAATAAACATTATATATATTAGTCAATGATTTTATAAAGCTTTTCCGAAATCGTTAGGCAATTTTTTATAAAATATTTTCGGGCATCATCTATGCCATAAGCAAAATGTAACTTCACCGTTTATGAAACAATATGTTTGTAATTATAATACGAAAGTATATAATTTTGCAATATTTACTAATACGATCATAAATCGATTCTACGCCTAGTTTCCAAAGTTTTGCTTAGAGAAGTTCGCCAGTCCATTTCATTATAGTGTACATTATATATATGGGTGTACAGACATTATATATATATATATCCACATGCATATTTGCGACTCTACTTAAAGCAAGTCCACCTTTTGGACTGGCTCTCCACCTAATCGCAATCTCTCGGTTTCTGTTGCTGCATGTTCTTAATACTATTTTACCTATCTCCCCAACCCACATATTATATTCAATTTTTTTATTTAACCAAAATTTTAGTTAAAAAGAAGACAATTCAAATTGTAATCTATTTAGGCAAGTGGTAGGGTATGTCTAGCATTAGAAGAAGCTAAAAAAAAAAAACAATTTCGTAAAACCAAAATTTTTTCTCTAGGATCATAATTATTAAGCTGAGCTAAAAACGAAAACAATTTTAACTAACTAAGGGACAAAATTTAAACAAGATCAAAGGAAAAAATGTACATTTTGGAAGAATCAAAGTCCACAAAATTTTACTGAATGAGAGGCAAAAATCAGACAAAAATGAACCAGAGAATGAAAAAAAAAAAACGGAAATAGGTTTCTAAGATGTTTTAATATATTTTGTAATAACAATGCTTTAGTGTTTTTCTTGTAGTTTAACCCAAAAATTATACAATCAACAAAGGCAAAAAGGTTCTCAATAATTGGTTCCTCGAGAGGATTTGCCAATCATCGATCATGGGGCTCTATTGTAGAAAGGTTTGTTTTGGGAACAACTACTTCCTCCGCTTGGCAGTGACAGTAGCTTTGTCTGTGGAGGACCTGGTGGTCCGTTTCCGTTTATGGCTGGATTGGGGCTTCTCTTCAGCGATTTCTTCTTGGGATTTCGTTTTGGGCAACTCATTGGATTGCGTTGCTTTTTTTGAATCGACTTGAGGTGGCTCTTCCTCCGATTTTTGCTTCCTTTTGGATTTACTCGAAGTTAAAGGTACCTTTTTTTTTTATAGATAAAAACCATATTGAGTTAATTTTCTGGACTTAGTGAACTTTCCTACCTCATTCCCCTGTGGTTCCTCTGTGGACACGTTCTTGGACTCCGGATTTTTTGGGGATGTGAAAGTCTCAGGCTGCGGTACATCCACTTTAGGCGGCTTCTGCGTGTTGGTCAGATCCTTGGACACCTGCTGGTCACCCAGAATCCCTACAATTCGATCGTATACCTCCTCCACAGTGGGAAACTTTAGGGCGCGTGGTGGACCGCGCTTTAGACCCGACCAAAGTGCAACCTGCTCCTGTTTCCCCATTCCGGCGCATAAGCTCAACTCGAAGGCTCCTCGCCGAGGTGCTCCAAGTGCATTCAGCTGGAGCTGAAGGTGTTGGAGCCCACGCTCCTGCAGAGCGGAGTGCAGCTCCTCCGCTCGACGACGAAAGACTCGTCAGGATCGGCAGTGCTCTATGTATAGCGCCGGCTTATTGGGATCCAACTCTTCGGCTGCATCCCGCTCAGCGACTGGCGCCTAGAAAATTGTTGAGAATTGGGTTTACCTATTGAACAAACGTAGTATTTCAATCTTACCTCAGCTTTTTTGGTCCGTTTCGGTGGCATGTTCGTAGACCCCGGATCAGAATGTTTAAGCAAATTGCGCACTTTTTGCATGTCAGTGTTGCCAGATGGTGTAGTAAGGCAGGGAGAGTAAGGCCTAACGCTCCATCCCTGGAAACTATCGATTTGCCGATAACAAGCGTTAAGAGACGCGCGAGTCCATTTCAATTGAATCAACGGAGTTTTAATTAAGCCGAGATGTCGCACTTGATGCCCCGACGGACCAGCGAGTTCCGTGGCGATGTACTGGAGGATCGAGGCAATGCCGATAAGCGACAAACATGGTGAGTGAGCCGGAATTCACCTGAGCAAGTCTCGATAAGGGATCGCATCTTTTTCCAGGGCAAACAAACGCAGTACAGCCACGCACACTCCCTCCTCCACCCAGGCGGTCCCCAGAAGGTAGGCACATCCACTTGATAGTCTAATACATAACCAGTAATGTCCCAATCAAATGCCCTACAGACCCTCCGCATCGCGTCTGCCACAGCCGCTGAACTTGGAGCGGGATCGGGCCAGTCAAATGAGCCTGACGCCCAAGCGAGGTAGCCGATTTCTGCCCTCCACGGCGGAGCGCGCCATTGCGCCACACTCCGACAAGAAATGGGTAGCGGAGCGGGCACAACAGATCCTGGAATACCTACATGACATTCAGCATAGCGAGGCGCCCACAGGTCTTATTGCGGATCTGTTTGTTCGGCCCGGTGGATTGCGGCATATGACTATCAAGCAATTTATTTCCATTCTGAACTTCCTGTTCCAACACATCTGGCGCAATCGAGTGACCGTGGGCCAGAACCACGTCGAAGATATCACAAGCGCAATGCAAAAGCTGCAGTATCCTTATCCGGTAAGCAGCACGGATGTACAGGGATGCATTTAGATGTCAAGGATTCTTTTGATTCTGAAATCCATTTGTCACTTACAGGTGAACAAATCATGGCTGGTATCGCCAACAACGCAGCATTCATTTGGCCATGTGATAGTCCTGCTCGATTTTCTCATGGACTTTGTATCGCCTCTTCCCTCATCGGATGAGGCAGAAGAGGAGTTCCCGTTTATGGAAACCATGGAGCAACCCAGCACGTATCTGAATAACACGCACTTGGAATTGAATGCCAGCATGTCCACCACCCAGGCAAACGCCGTCCAGCTAGACGAAAAGGTCAATGGTCTGCTTTTCACAGAGGCTAACAAATGCATTGCCCTATGGGATCAGGAGCTCACCAATGAGGAGGCCAAGCTGCAGGCGGAGACCAGGGATCAGATGATCAGCCTGAAGTGTGATTTGCCCGATCGCAAAGCTTTAGACCAGCTAATCGGCGATCTGAGGACAAAGCTACAGCAAATAGAGAATAATCTGAATGATCCCAGCGACGACAATAAACTAGGCAAGCTAGAACGTTTCACCAAAGAGCACGACCAGCTCGCCCAACAGCTAGCTGCCAGTCAAGACGACCTGACCAAGCAGCTGATGCTATTCGACCAGCTGTCTGCGCAGACAGAAGAAAAGCAATCTAATCTCCGCCAGCAAATGATGTATGAAAAGCGTCTGGAGCAGTCGGTTAACAGCCAGAAGTTCTCTGCCCAGCAGCTGAAGGAGCTTCAAATTAAGTGCGACGATATGGAAAACTACTCCAAGGCTTATGAGCGTCAGGTGAAGGAGGTGTCTGAGCTGGAGCTTCATCAGCAGGTAATGCTGTCGCGAGCCAAACAAAAGCAACTGGATTCCGTTGAGATCTTCAACTCACACATGCACCACCTGAGCATGGACCCGTTAATTTGTGGACTAATAAAAGGCGGTGTAGGCCAGCAATCGGACCTTACTCTGCCGCTAAATCCCAATCAAAATGATATATCGGAGCGGGTACAGTGCCTGGAGCTGCTGGGCAAACTTATACAGCAGCACCGCCAGCAGAATATCGATCGGCGTCAGATGTTGGAAGAGGAGGTTGCAAAAATAAAGTCCGATTCCATCGAGTTGGACACGGATATTGCTACATTGGACTCTCAATTGTCTGCGCAGAAGCAGCGTCTAACCAAAATGGAGGCCAGCTATCGGACCAAGCGGGACATGCATGCGCAGCACCGGCAGCAGCTGCTGGAGGATCAGTATGACCAGATCGCCCGTCTGGGTGAAATGGAGAAGCGGGAGATGCAGGCGCTGGAGAAACTACAAGCCAGCAAGCAAAGGAACGAAGATCTTCTTACCGCCGCCGAGCAGTTTCAGGAGCAGGATCTCAAGGCCCGCACCGCCCACCTCGAGAAATGCGAGCAGAAGCTGGCCAAAGCGGAGAAGGAGCTGCAGGCCCTGGAATCAAAGGTCTCTGCGAGTGAAGCCAAACTGAGCGAGGTGGAGCATAAGGTGTACTCCGCCAAGCTGCCTTCCATCGAGCCAGTGCTACAGGCTATCAAGAAGCGATGATGCAAATGTTTAGATTCTGTTTTTTTATTTGTAACCCAGTTGATCTGAAAAGTATTTTTTTCCATATTTAAAAAGCAATGAACTGTCTTAAAATGATTTATGAAATGTATTTATTTTTGATTACATTTAAATTAGGTAAATTGAGTTGAACACTGTGGTTCCTGGACAAAGGAGGGGGATTCTCCATAATATCAGATTTCTTAAGTTTTTTATTGCCACACGTATTACGGATTCTATTACGGATCTCCGCTGCCTTTTTGGGATTACAAATTGCACTTGGAACGGCTTAGCTTTACATGGTTATACATATACACTGAGTGGTGGGTGAATACGGCTAGGGTAACTTAAACGTAGACATTTATAAATATTAAATTATATTATCTTTTGGCCAATTTTGGTAGGTTTGAGTGCGATTGACTTGTGCCACCAAAAGTTGCAGGGGAAAGTAACAAACGTATGCAATTTGAATATTATTTCATTTGTGCGCTCTTTTCGTACTAGTAACATATATGTAGTTGTATACCTAATAGTTTGTCATTTTAATGCTCATAAGCAAAAAGGAGATATTTCAAAATTTTGTTAAACAATTTTATTTATGAGTAGGGATGTTATATTGTCCGTCGATCTACGTTTTTTGTACCACAAGTCAACCAACTAGAGAATATGGGTATACAAAAAAATAGGGAAGTTCGAGTAGTAGTTACATATAAATTCAACACTGAGACAGACAATATGTTGCGTAATAAATAATTATCATTTAGCTTAGTTCAATTTTATACAATGCCCGATAGTGCTTACGTCCTCAGACAATGAAGACATCGCCACTGCTGCACTCCACGGCCGAGGTGGCCATATCGCCGCCACATCCTGGCCGACCAGCTTGGCTTGCTGCCGAGATCTTGGGCTCCTCCGACTGATCGGTTTTGTCTAACAGCTCCGCCTCGCGTCCGATCTCAACGATGCCCTGCGGTTTGTCGCTGCTGGCGCTCTGTGACTCATGCGACTCGTGTGCCTCTTCCTGGCCAGCCAGGTGGATGCTGACACCCGCCATGTCCAGGTCCTCGACGTCCTTATGATTCTGGAATGTAACTGAGATCTCTTGGGCTGCAGCTCCTTCGCTCACATCCCCATCCTGGCCATTGGCGCTGGTCGTGGGCACTGCGTTTGCATTGGGCGGTGCCGTCGTAATGGATGACCACCAGCTGGAGAAGGCGCCCTTCGCCTGGGATATGGCACCACCCACCGCACGACTCGTCGTGTTCACCGCCTGGTTGATTTTTCGCCCACTCTCGCTATTTTGCATGGTTCTGGAAATTACAATTATATAGAAACTTATCTTCTTTTTATGATACGTCCTTGGTTAACCACTTACTGTGCTAGTTTAAGTTTCATATCCGCCACGGACAAGGTTCCGGCAAAGGGATGACCAGCGGGCAGGGCTTCAAAGAACTCAGGTTCAGGCCTAACGTCGTACCATTCCTGAAAGCACTGGGTGCGCTTGAAGGTGCCCATGAAATGCGCATTGAAATGATCGTTGTCTTTGGGCGTGGCATCTATATAAGAGAAATACATTTACATTTGATGGTTCAACAAGAAATTAAGAAAATATAACCCACCTGGAGCCACAGCAGTTCGCAAGAGGGCCAGGATGTAGCCCTGAAACTGCTCCCGAATCCAGTACTCGCTACCCTCTGCATCCTCCTTCGGCGATTGCACGTGCTTCATGATGTAGTCCATGTAGCGCAGATCCTCGGTACTCAGCACCAGCTGGCGCCTGAGCTCCGGATCGTGAGCATCCAGATTGGCAGCCTCGATGTCCACCAGGACGTCAGCCAGCTGACGTTTCTGCTGGAAAAGAACGTTGGAGGTGCCGATGACATAGGAGAGCACCATGGGGTCGCTGAGCAGGTCCATGTACGGTAGCGACAGATACGGCAGGCAGAGATTGCCGCTAGCGAAGATGCTAACCGGTGCCCGATACTCATCCGGATTCACAGCGCACAAGGCGGCGAGGTTTGCTATGGACGACAGATTTAAACAGGTCAGTTAGCAATACTTACTAATGGCTTAATTTAACAAGGTTTAAGGTCATAGTTTTCCTGAAACTGCGTCATACGTAATGTTTAATGTTTGCAATCTCCTATCTCCTAATATGGCGTAATAACGACGTAAATGATGAAATTGTATAACAAAGGTTATACTAACTAACTGAATGACTACAATTTTACTTAAGTCAGGGACAGATTTCATGGGCTACTCACAGGCCAGTGTGTCCACGCTGGCTTCTCTGGTCAGCGAGGTGTTCCTGCCGTTCGAGGAATCCTGCGACTGTGAGTTAGGTGTGGAACGCGTCGACGTGTCATCGCCACTGGCCTGCTCCTCGCCCGCAGAGGCTGCGGATGAGACGAGGGCCAGCTCCTCGGCCTCGCCCTCCACCGCTGTGGCGCTCTCTGGCGTGAGTTTCTGCTCATCGGAGACAGCTGCAACGGAAGCCACTGCCTCCAGTTCCGCTTCGGCTTCCGCCTGTGCCTCCCGCTGCAGGGAGTCGGTGAAATCCGGCATGGGCGACAGTGGTCGCGACGTGCGCACACAGGCCACCTCCTGGAAGCCCTTCTCCAGCAATCGCGGCACCAGCGATGCCATGCCTAGGATCAATACACACATTTGGCGCACTGGCGAGCCGAAACACACCACTCGTCGCTGCAGCAGCATTAGTTTGAAGAGCATTAGCGTCTTGTGGCGCCAGTGGAGCACGATCTCACGCAAGGACAGGCCCACGTGAAAGTGGCGCAACGGGCGGCGCGATTCGTCGTCCTGGAGGCAGGCGTTTAGCTGCTGATAGGCCTTGACCAGCAGTTCCGTGCCGGAGAAGTCGCCCTGATCGAAGAAAGCATCGGCAATGAGGGCTAGTTTCACCTCGATGTACCCATAGATGGGCAGGCGGGCCAAGATGCACACGGACTTCTGAACGGTGCTGCGCGTGAGATCCGCCGTCCGGATCTTTAGTTTCTCCACGCGTATCTGGCGATAGCAGGACACGCCGTAGATACTCGCAGCCGGCTCATACAAACTGGGCAGGTTGAAGAACACCGTGTCCTCGGCAAAGTTATGAGACCCATCGGGCAGAGCCAGAGTGGGCAGGTACTTCCAGCCGGAGGGGCATTCGTGGCGTCCCGTGGAGCCCGAGATTAGCGGCGGATGCGAGAACTCCACCTGGCAGCCCAGCTTGTGGTGGAAGCCCACCACGAGGATGTGCAGGATTGGTGGCTTGTTCTCCGGCTCGCTGGCCATCGTTGTCGTTATCCTTGTTCCAAGGAGCAAGCGGTGTCCACCAAAAAAGCGTTTTTTGCCTGCAAAAAAGAAAATCCAATTGGATTGTCCACTACCGCATCGGCCCTCTCGCTCGCACTCGTGTAACCACGCCACGCAATTGTTGTTCTATTCCGACCGCCGCACACTTATTTGCTTTGCAATTGTCTGTCTGTCGTATTTAACTTTCTTTCTTTACAATTTTAAAACGATTTTGTTTTTAATCTATTTTCTTGTTTGTGATAGCGTATCGATATCGGAAGGCGTTATTTTGTACTCCAATTAGATGTGCATTTGCCGGTTATCGATATGTTCGCTTCGACCAACGGCATTATCGACTACACCAGTACGAATATGGGCGGTTACTTTTGAATTTGAAATAACCATTTAAAAACTAGTACAAATTTAAAAACTAGCAAATATGAACAAATATATGTTTCATAGTGCAATTCATGTTTGTATCTGTTTAATCTATATTTAACTTAGTTAAATTAATTCCAAACAGCAGAGAACATAATCTTTCAGATTAAAAGAGAATTAAAACACAAGATTAGATTTTATAGAGTGATGTTATAAGGTTCAGACCGACTGAATGAAAAATTAATGCAAATTAGTAAAGAAAAAAGTGTATATACACAATACAAAGAAATATATTTGTTTAAGTACACATTAAACTTACCATCATGATTTGTCCAAAACAACCATTATGTTGATATAGTTGTAACATTTTGCCATCAATCGCGATATAATAATAATATAAATTTCCGAGTGTCAACAGGGCGAAAATTAAGTCAAAAACAAATTCTGAAAATAAACGTGTAATACTATACATATAGTAGACGGAGCATTAGGTACTACATAGCCAGACTGTGTATGATGGCTCTTAAACGTTTTTATATTTTCTGCTGTTTTCATTTCGGTGTTTCTTCTATGTGTTTTTTTCTTATGGATTTTTCCGTTGTTTTTCTTGTTTGCTTTTTTTAATTGGTTCGCTTTCATTTCATTTAATTTAGTTAGAGCGTATTTTTAAATCGAACATTCAACATATAGATTCTAAAATTGGCACACTTCGGGTTGTTTGTTCTTTACAAAATATGTTTGCCTGACCTGATCCGAGACGATCTTATTCATTGAAAACTTTATAAAACATATACTTACATTTTAAACTGGAAAATGCATTGATTTGATTTGATAAATGCATTTTCAGTTAATAATACAAAGCTCTTAATATTGTCTTAATTGAAATCTGGAGTTGGAAAGAACATATTTTAGACATGAACTGTTTTTCCTATATGATACACATAAAAAACAATGCAACTAACAATGATGCTGACTAATTATTCTAGTTTGCACTGGAGCCCATCAAATCGAATTATTCGAGACTTTGGATATGCTGTTCATTCATATAATTCCTGGGTCTGGGTCTGACATCAAATATTTTTCCAGATCTTGGATAATGTTTATGTTATTCCTGATCTATGCACATATTACCCACAGTTGCCCGTAAACATCGCCCCAGAAAGCTAACCTATAGATAGACATATAGAAGATATTTAAACAAATACATATACGCACATACTTTAATATATATCTATATATTTTTTTTATATCGGGGGTTCTTCGTGCATACGATCGGCACTAAAAACCGAAGGCTACAGACGAATAGCGCCCACACAAAACGTCCAAAAATAGAAGAACAAAAATTCGAAACTGTGCTATTTGTTATTCCCTGATTTTCGAATTTTCTAACTTTCAGATATTCGGACATTCAGAAGATGATGCGAATTGAAATTTACTTGAAGGCACTGCAGACGGCATACCCAAATCCCACTTTCACGCCCACATCTGCACATGTCCGTAGTTGTGGTGTACGGATCACTGAGCTATTTGCCCCGATGTTTGCAATAAGTTCGTAGTTGTTTATTGATCGGAAGATGTTATTTGAATCCAGCCAGATGGCAGGCAAAAATGAAAACCCAGCTAAAAACCGCTTGCAGATTTCGTATATATCTGGACACAAGACCCCCGGACCATTTCATGCACTAAATCCCAGATAGATCTACCTGCCCACCTGTGTCCCATTGCGATTCTGTAGTTTTGTGGCATTTGGCAAGCTATGCATAATACCTAGACCATACTGAACTACTGTGTGCATTTCGCAGTGGTACAAAAGAGAGAGAGATACAAAAATGTTCTAAATTTAAGACACTTGGCAACCAAAAAAAATCAAAACAAATGTCGAAATTGTGCGACTATATGTATAGTAATTTTACTGTAATATATAATTTTAAAATAATATTGACCATATATTTATTCATTATCCATTTACACAGAAATCTATTTATTTGAACATCGTGTTTATGCAAGGAATTAAGAGAATTTTCTATAATCCAATATAAATATAACAATTTTATATTACAATTTTGGAGAACTCGTGTATCTATCAGATAGGCTAACTATACAATATTAGGTACTAGTTATAACGGTTATTTTTTAATCGTACTAATCTAATTATATGACATTATTTTACAAAGTATTGATATTGGTATTTGGGAAAATTCGAATCTTACTTTAAACTTAATTGTTTTTTATTCGTGTAAAATATTTCTTAAATTTTGTATTCCTTTAGAGGATTATCTTTGCTCATGTTTTCAAAAATAAACAAAAATGAATGTAGAAGAAAGTACTTTTTTATATTTTTTTTTATTATTAGTGTAAAAGAACAAAGTTTTTAGGAAAACCATTACGGAACAGACTATGTTTCACTTTATTAAATTATGTAAAAACTTAAACATAGGGAAAACGGATTGTAACGAAATCTTCAAATTGGCTTAGTATATTGTGGGAAAATACACCAATAAAGAATGATCAAATTCGATAGCTAAAACCAAGGGCTGTAAGGTGCGTAAGTGTATCTGAAACTATTTGGCAGAACTATCTGTTAGAAAGAAAAACAAAAAATAGCATAGCAAAAGGAGAGAAATAAAAAAAGAAAATCGGAACAATGACGAATAGATTCAAGTGTTAGACAAATGGCAATGCGATGGGGCCACCTAAGGCCGTTCGACGTCAGCAGTTCGATCGCGATATAGATATAGGTAAATAAATATATAGGGATTTTGTAGGGCGTGCACTCTGGGGTTCAAATGCTGCAACGATCCGCCGAGGAATCCAAACCATATGTGCTATATATCGGCACGAACATACATATGTATGTACATACGTAGATGCGGCAATATATGCAGGCCGACTTTTTAATGGCTGTGAAATTTATGTTCTACGATATTTGATTCCAAAAACAAATGTGTAAAAAGCCGCCAACGCTCCGCACGTTCGTATACGCTATATACTTATGATCTAGTTATGTGCGTGCTGGCCTATAGTATGTATATCGTATGCCTCATCTCGCTCTGGCCAAAATGGAAAATTGGAAATCTCGACGACGACTGTGTGCGTGTACAAGTTTATGTTTCAGCAGCAGCCCACCTGAAAATCCCCAAAACACATCCAACACACCCAGGCGCCCAGGCACCCACCACCACCCACTTGTTGCCACATCGGCCAGCGATATGTGGCATATAGCGCTGGCCTGCTTGCACCAATGGCTCGCTATGGGCTATATAGAATGGCGATCGGTGTGTGCGTGGAATTGGCTTTTCCGCGAACGCGACGAAAAATTCTTTAACATAACGTGTAGCAGCGCTTTTCATCGTCAGTTTGGTTAGTCGAACCGCAGCATTCGCTCCTACGACGTCAGCTGCTCGGACTTCAATTCAATTTGTTTTTCTCCCTAAGTAAGTTTTTTTTTTCTGTTTCTGCTCTACTGCTGCTTCACATCTCCTTCAAATGCTGCATCACCAAAAAATACAAAAAATAATAAGAAATATAATAAACTTGTGTGCCTAAACCGAAAAGAAAGTTATCAAAAACGAGTAAACCAAATCCTTTGGGAATGAACCACGAACCGAACATCAACAAAAGAAAGTTACGAATTGGAAAATCCTAGTGTGTTATATAACATTTTATTTTTTTACAATTTTTTTAAAGTGCAATCTACGAACAAATAGTGCGATAAAATGACTTGAAGCCACCAATACGAACTCTGCAGCCAACTTTTTTGAAAACCCTTTTTTTTCAACTTTTTTTTTCATAATGGCTAAAGGCTAAAAATAATTTGAAAAAATTCGCCCAGGCATTGGCGACGCCAAAAACAATATTCAACGGCAACTACAACAACAGGATTAGCCCCAGCAGCAGCAGCAACAACAACAAAAGCAAAACCAACAACAATGCCAGACAGGAATATATACATATATATATATATATATATATATACATATATGTATATCTTTTTGCTTATATACATATGCTCAACCAATCCTAAAAGTGTTATATGATCTGAGAGGAAAAGTTCTCAAATTTTTTTCAACGAATTTTAAAAATAAATTCGATTTGTATGGGTGCGCGAGTGTGGTTTACCTTGGCAAAATGTCCAAGATACACACACTCACAGATACGCAGAGTGAAAACTTTTTTCTATAGCTTTCCGCGCAGGCGCCGATCAGATGTTAGAGAGATATAGAAGGCGCAAAAGAGACGGAACTATTGCCACCCACACAAGATCGCTGGGGAATAGAGATCTGGAGATTTTGGAGGATATATGTATATTGGACTATAAATGGAAGCAGGGCCGAGATAGATCGAGTAATAGATAGAATAGATAGGACGGGAAATTTGTTAAGCGGATTCGACAAGGATACATATGACAGTTTTATGATATTAAGCAGGAAGAACGTAAAACGTTCTTAAATTATGAACTTGAAAATAGGAGTAAAACTCAAGAGACATGTTTTTGAAAGCATACTAATCTGGCATTTTTGTAAATGTAACTGTAATAGACGTATATTTCTGAAAGTCTGTAGGTGAATATTAAGATCACCACCGTTTGGATTTTAATACCCGGACCAATAAATATAAAAGTATTCCAGAATTTTACTTAATACATTTCGCATCATTTCCATGCACTTCTGCCCGAAACTGACCCAGTTTATTTACAGCTAAAAATAAACGCCGAGAAATTGCATTTCCATAGTGCAAAAGTGTACAGATTATGGAAATAGAATATTCATATTCATAGACATTTCATATACATATTTAAATTTGTGTCAGTAATAACTGGCATATAAATAAGCAATCTATGAATGGCATTTGATTTGATTTTCTATTCATTTCACACTAGTACGCCCAAATATATATGCATCTTGTAGTAGGACATATGTATATAGCTATCACTGTTATATACATGACATAATAGATATATACGTATTGAGACCAACTGTAAATTAGAATAAAAAGCAAAGGAGTAATAAGCACAAATCCCCGTTAGAATTGAGCACAACGTTGTTATCACTTTCTGTCATGTACGAGCATACATATAATGAAGAAGAGGAGAAGAGTTTCGAGGCGTCATTCGGTGGCGTGCTTTCAGAGGGAACAGTTGAAATAAAGTTATATTAAATCAAGAGTGTGTTCTAGACGTTTAGAATATATATATATATAATTTCAAAAGCTTCTCTAGGTTTTCTGATTTAGTGCCAAGGTAAAAAAACGAAAATTTTCAAAAAAGGCTTTGGCCGAAGCTTTTTTGATGTTTTCGGAAGCTTTCGGCTTTCGGGAAATTCAATACTGCCCCAAAGTCTATTTTTAATTGAGAAAAAATCGGAGGAAAAAGAAAAACTACCGATATACATAGATTGGACTACGCCTCTCTCCTTCGCACATACACAGATGTATATGTAGACATACATATATAGCATGGGAAATTAAATAATTTTAGAGCGGAGCGTACGGAATTTATTGTTTTTTCTTCTTTAATTTGGAAGATTATGATGTGAGAACGGGACAATGTTGCCGGCTATAAAAAGACAGGTCGCACTGCCTACATATACACAGCAGAATCGCATATATATTTCTTTATAGGGGGACAGATCTGTCTAATTATAGAGTTGTCGCAGGGCGATCAAAGGCTGCTTCAAGTACAGTGAAACCCTGAATAAAAAATAGAAATGGGGTTATCGAAAGGCATTCATTAGTTGATTTGTAAATCATATCCGTTCGAACCCCGTTTGTATTTAAATATTGTTGTTGCTGATTTTGCTGAAAAAAAAAAAATGTCATATTGCGCATAGTTAATATCAATTAAATTTGAATAGTAATATAATACATAAAATAAAACAACCGTTTTTGGTTTTTTTTCTATTCTACTACAATCGCTGCTTAATTTTATCTCAAATGTATGCATACCCAAGCTAAAGGAATATTTTTCTCTTCTGTGTATTTGCAGGTTTTTTCAACCCTAAACCGTAGCCATGTCCGACGATGAAGAGTACACGTAAGTAGAGCCCATGAGAAAAATATGAGACGATGCAAATATTAAGTATACGACGCGTATGACCGCGAACAAGATTTTTAAAGTGTGTAAAAGTGAGCAGTTAACTTAAGTAAAGTAGCAAAGTTAAAGAGAAGTATTCGAAGGTCTCGTTTGAATTCTTGTTGTTATACATACTAACTAATTCAGC